ATACACAAACACGTTATTAAAGTTGCTCCAAACATGTTATTTTCTCTCCTACTCTTGATATGTTTCACATATCGTATATACACAAATACATACATATATACATACATATGTATAAACGTGTAAGTTTGCTGTTGTGAATATCTGATCGGTAAAAAGAAGTTCGATTGGTCTTGGTCGGATTTAAAGCCATCCCACCAAGTAAACTCGCATCGAAACGACCAACCAATCAACGTTCTGACTGATAAGGGAAGCCATAATTAATGCGATTTGTTAAACGTGTCGGCTGACGCCAATGACTATACTCGTTCGAAGGAAAACACCGTTCTCGTCGTAGTACTTGTTCGATCTTTAGTCTTTCTGCCGCTAGATCGATCGATCGATCGATTAATCGTTTGCTTCTTTGCTTTTTAACTTGCTCGTGTTCTCGTTCCAAAATTTTCCTTTCGATTTGATTTTTGTTTTTTTGTTTTTTTTTTTCCATTTTATTCCTCATTATTCGAACAATTTAACACGCGATGTTGTTATAAATTACACACACACAGACACACACAATTATAATATAAATATATATTTAATTGTGTTCACATACACCCAACAATTCGATAATATTATAAAAATCTAATTTTACGTAATGGATGAAAAGTGAACTAAAATGTGTTTTTAATTAAAAAAAAACGCGAGAACTCTTTGTGTGAATTTTTGTGTGATTATTAATAATAAAAGTGTGTTGGTTAAATCGTTTTTAAATTTGACAGAATTCAACTAAATAGATAATATATAATATATATTATCGGTGATCTGTGTTATTCAATAGGTTTTTATTAAAGGTAATCATGCTCACTTAGTTCCCAATCACAAATACACTTTATTTAATCGTAATTTTTGTCTAGATATATTTATTTCCATATTCATTCGTGTAATATTTTTATTTGTCATTATTTAATATATAGATAACATTATAAGTGAAATCATATTTTGTTCTATTTATTTTTTCGAGAGAGACCAAAATTATTATATCGAAATTAATAAATAAGGGAAAAATATATAATCGTATAACGGGTGGTGTACCTTCAATGTTCTTTCTTTTTCTTTTCCTTTTTTATATATATATATATACATATATTGAAGAAAATAAAAAGAAAGAAGTATAAGAGGAGGAAGGGGGAAGGAAAGAAGCAAACGGAGACAGGTACAAATACCTTTCTTTTCTTTTTCCCTCTCTCTCTCTCTCTCTCTCTCTCTCTAAGACAATTAGATCAATGTAAATTTTTTCCTTGTTTTTTTTTTTTTTGTTTTTTCCTTTCTTTCGTATAATAATCTTTAATTATCGTCTGGAAAAATAAAAAAAAAAAAGAGAGAAAAAAAGAATAAGGCATATCGTAAGACTTCATTAATAATACTGTTTTTCTTCGAGTTTATCGGTTCGTAAGCATGTTCAAAGTATTCTAGAAACTCGCGAGACTTGTGCTCGTTACGGACGATAAACGTTCTTAAAAAAGATCACGAAAGAAATAAAGAAAAAAAATTATCTTTTCAAGGTCTTTCTCGTGTCTTCCAAATTTCCAATTTCTCTCTCGCGCGTCTGCTTTTTTTATTTTACTTTATTTTCTTTTATTTTATTTTATTTTATTTTATTTTATTTCATTTTTTTGTTGTATCCTCGATAAATATTAAAAAATAATATTTAATCTTACACCACACAAATTTTCAACATATCTAACGATATTTTTTTTTCTCAAACGTAAGAGATACGAAAAATGTGTATGGAAGAATATATAATATAATAAAAGATGAGAAGCCTCCCGAAATATTCTAAAATAATATTTCAAAATCAACCGCTCTCTCTCTCTCTCTTTTTGCAAACTCATTTCAATCCAATTAATTTAATAACCCAATAAGAAAAAAAATAAAATGAACAATAAAATTAGTCTGGCAAAAGAGTTTCATGAAAAAAAAGTAGAATAATTTCGTGGAACAACTTTTTGAAAGCCCTACCTACCCCCGAACCTCTACCTTCACCTCGTAGAGACATTTCATTTCCATCGTTTAGTAAAAAAATAAAACATTGAAACAGAACAAAAAAAAAAAAAAGAAATAAAAATGAATATAATGACGAACGTTTGTGTGCAGGATATTCTCGGTGTAATTTCGAACGATAGGATTTTCTCCAAGAATATTTATACGATCTAATGATCTTGTATACATATACATATATATATGCAATAATACATAGATTAGGCGATACGTCGATGAAAGAAATTACACAACAAAATAGTAGTTTTAATACGGGTTCTGCCATAATAATGTTCGCAGACGATATAAAAGGAACAATTTATAAGCTTACTATATCCAAATCGCAACCAGTAATTATGTCGCCGTATTTCCTTTTCAATATAGAATACTAATTAACTTTGTGTGACGTACTATAACACACAGATACACGCATACACATACACGCGAACGGAGAGAAAGAGAGAGAGAGAGAGAGAGAGAAACATAAATATACGTAACAGACGATACATATACATATAATTTTTGAATGATCGATAAAGAAGTTTTATTTCAATTGTAAATTTTTCTAGTAAAATTGATTTTATTAAATATTTTACCGCCCCCTCCCCCCGCCTCCGACTCCCCAACGTTTTTGATTTCGTTAGATTAAATATTTCTTTTAGGATATTTTCGCAAAATTTTTCCCCGACCTTTTCTTGCTTCGCTTTATTTTAATTTTCTTATAATTCGCACAAATATTTCCCCTTATTTTTCTTATATTTGGGATTTTTTATTTCTTTTTATTTTTATTTTTTTTTTTGAGGGTGGTTTTTGTAACACATATTTGTCAATTATTTTTAAAACATATTGCTTTCGATATGGTTCTTTTCTTTTTTTTCTTGCAAGATATTATTTATATTTATACATTGAAGAGAGATGGTTAAAAAAAAGGAAGAAATAGAGAAATGAAGGAAAGATATAATTAGATAAGAAAAATAAATGGACAAATGTAGTAAACGTCTTTTTAAAATTGTCGCTACACGGCTCGCCAAAGACATCTGTTTTCAAAGTGAGAAACATCTATTTTAAAACCTAAGCACCCCATACCTACCACACGTGGGAACAAGTTTTTCGTCAAATGAAATAATTTTCTTATTTATTATTTTCTTTCTAGTTTTTTCTATTATTTAAACACATACCAATCTTTCTTTCCATCTATTAATCTATCAATTTATCAATTTATCTATTTCATTTTCACTCAAACGAATTTCTTTTTATTTCCTTCTTTTTTTGTGTACATTTCTTCTTCCTACGCGACTTTTAAATCCTTTTATTTATTTGTTCTTGAATTTTTTCCACTCGCCGCGTTCTCTTTTATTCTCGCACGATTTTCTCGATGTTTCGAATATTAATTATCGAGCTTTTATTATTCGTGCATTTTTCCGACGATCAAAAATAAACGTCATGTATATTCTCTTCAATTATACGTCAGTCGACGTTGTTTTTCGCATATAGAATCGGATCGAACTAGCTTTTAATATCTTATTTCCATATTTCTATTATTTTTTCTTTCTATTTTTATTTTCCTAATCGCTTTATATAATGTGTAAATAAAATTAATAATAAATATATTAATTGTTTTTTTTTTTTTCTATATGAGCATGCGAAAATGCGATACAGCATGCAATAACACACCAGATATATATATATATATTTCTGATTATAAAACTTATATATTCCGCCATTTTATTTTAAAATAACCTATAATTCACGCGACCCCTTACATGAACGTAAAAATATTTTATGAAATCTTTTCCTCCTATAAAAAAGAAAAAAGTCAATATGTACTTCATTTATACGTAATTCTTATGTATACTACTTTAATTAAAATTAAAAATTACAATTAAATTACAAACAAACGATAATAATATATATCTAAAAACAAAAGAATTCGTGAAAATCTTTTGTTAAAGTTATGTGGAACCCGTAGAATTCCGTGGAATAGAATTTGAAGACCACTTGTTATAAAGTATTTTAAAATACGATATTAAATCTTTCCATTTATTTAAATAAACACACACACAACACACACTTACCACGCGTTCCTCATAATATATATGAAATTAATTAACCAATTCGTGTTTCTTTCTCCTTATTTATTAATTTATTTATTCATTCAATCTCGTTTGTGTTGTGTGAGGAAGATTTAAAAAAAGAAAAAAAAAAGGTAATATTCTCCCCCGCCATGATGTTTCTCCGACCACCTCTCGTAACATTTATTGTATATTGTATATATACTCTATAATACACACATATATATATACCCTTTTCTTCTTCACAATGAAGTCCTCGCGCGATTTATCTGAGTGCACGATCTATACACGAGGCATTATGACAAAGGCGGTAACAGGATCAAGAGATCGAAGATCACAGACAACCCAGGCATTGTTGGCACTCGTGCCAACCCGTGTCGACCGTTCCGTTGTGTTTAATCGTGTTAACAAGGAGGACTCTGGGGACTCCTCTTCCTTCCACCACCCACCACTCACCCCCTATACAGAATATATATATATGTATATATATTAGGGTGAACCAAAAATTCTCGTGCGTTTTATATATTATTTCCAAAGTCACAATTTTACAAAAACAATCAACATTATGCAATTTATAACACAATTTACAACAGAATGTACGTGTACGTATTTTAATTTTACCCTAATATTATTATGTTGCACGAAATAACACGTTAAATGTGTTCGGGGGGTTATCGATGTGTAGATTAATAATATTAATTTCCATAAACTTTTTTTTAGACAAGAATATTTCCCCCGACAATCTAACGTGTATGTATAATCTAACGAGATTACCAGTAAAAAGAGAGAAGAAAAGAAAAGTTTATTTTTGTAATTACAAATATTACAATACTTTTACTAATCGAATTATAATTATGGATGTTGTGATACTATTATATCGGTTAATGTAATTTATTGTATTATATATCGTTTCAGAATGGTGTTGATTTTAAACGGGGTCCTTCAGGAAGATGTCCCAACGGACAGTAGATCGTTATACGTGTCACACCCCGTATATCGTGAGACCGCAACGCAACTTCACTCAATACCCGCAAAATTGGTGGGCCCGGTCGGCCTTTTGTACGTCCAGCAACGAGAAATGGCAGCCACTGTACCAATGGATAGTTAGTATAATATCATATTATTATTATTATTATTATTATTATTATTATTATTATTTTTTGTTGTTTTCGACGAGACTTCCACGAGAATATTTTACTCTGATTAACTCGCCGTTTCTTGTCTCTAAAATGAGAATGATTTAGAGATTATAATAAAAAGAAATAGAGATAGAAAAAGAGAGAGAAATTAAAAACTTGACCCAATACTCTCGCGCAACCATGTATACATTTATTTCAAATGATATCGAAATGAAGAAACCACATTGCTAAGAGTTAATGCGATATCAAGCTACTGAGATATTGACGTAACCTGCTTTTGTCGAAAAGATTAATTAAATTGGGTTAAACTTAATGATTCGTTTTCTAGATGACGAAATTTCAAGTCACATATATTAAACCCAGGAAAAAGATAATGATATATATATATATATATATGATTATACTTTATAATGAAATATTATATAGAAAAAAATAATTAATTATAATTTTGTAATATATATAAAGTAAAAGAAAAATCAATAAATGATATTAAATTTAAAAAATGAAACGTAGCATATTGTTGAAGACAACAAAATTATATTTTATTATTATAGAATCGTCTCTCTCTCTCTCTCTCTCTCTCTCTCTCTCTTACTTATATCTATCTATCTGTCTATCTATCTATCTTTTTTATCTTTTTCTTCAATATTTTTGTTTTTTTTTTTCTTTTTTTCTTATTTTAAAGCATTTTAAAGCAAGTAGCGTGAGAAAATAGGCTTTTTACCGTGGCTTATATATACATACACATATACTACTCGTCGAAAAGCCACTTTGGAATTCACCGTACTAAGTGCTCTCCTCTTCTTTTCCTTTCGCAGAGAACGTGAGCATCCTCGGCTCGGACGACATGACTACGTGCATAATCGTCGTCGTGAAGCATTCCGGTTAGTATATACTTATATATACACGTGCATACATATATAGGTATATTTCTCTTTAAATAAATACCATTGAGAGAAACGAGAAAACGACAAACACATATCTACCCTTATACTTGGCCTAAGTAAGTGAAAAATCAGATAACGAGATAGAATATTTATATAAAAAAGAAAAAGAAACAAAATATAAATAAAGAGGAATAAGATTATATTATAATATATTGTATTAATACGTATAAATCATTTTTATTCCTAACATATTGCTACATAAAGTGTAAAAAAAAAAACAAAACAAAAAAATATATTTTTCTTTCCAATCAATAAAATTACTATGTATGTGTTACTATATGTATATTACAGATTTTTAGATTTTATTGAATAATAATTAATTATTCAATTGTGACTGTATAAATATATAAAAAAAGAAAAGCGTATTAGGGAAATTGCAAATATTATATTATTTAAATTTGCAGGATCGGGTGCGTCAGCCTTGGCACACCTGGATGGCGCAGGTACGGAAGATGCCGCAGCTGCCATGATTCAAAGGGTGACAGAATTATCTATTGGCTTTCCGGAAGGTCGTTTAGAATTACAGTTGGTCGGTGGTTATTCCGACCCAAAGAATTACTCCGAGGAATTGTTTTATAATATTTTATGTAAGTATTCAACACACTTTTTGTGTTTTAAATTAAATTAAAACTCAATACTGGAAAATATCTGTATGTTGTTGTTTTTTCTTTTTTTTTTTTTATATATTCTTAAAAGCTGCCTTTCACAAACAACCCGTCGAAATCGACTTAACGTTGTGCTGTGTCGGTGAACTGAACACCACCGTAAGAGCTGGCATCCATTGGCCTGTGATCTATGGTATCGGATTGAACTTGAAGACCGGCGAGATCTTCCCTGCAACCTTCCCTGACAAGGGCCCCGATCAGCCGCTCAGGTGTGCCAGACAGTTAACCGGAGGTCAACAGGTGCATGTGCGCTGTTATCTAAATGGAAGAGAAAAATTAATAGTAGACTAGACAAGTCGCGCGTTTTCTATATATGTACTACATTTAAATATAATATGCATTACACTGTTTTTTAACTTACAAGGACTCCATTCGGAATACCGATTTTTTTTGTCAAACTCTACACAATGCAAGCAAGTGAAATCGCATACTCTCAACCGTTTTCAAAAAAAAAAACTTTAAGGGAGAAATTTCACGTGCATTCTTACGTACCAATTCGTTTCGTGTTAAATGGGAAAACAAATATATATATATATATATATAGAAAAAAAATATACATGTGGGGTGGTATTGAAAAGTTTTGAACCTAACACGAATTTTAAGGGATTCAATTAATTATCGTTAATGATTCGCGATATACTCGACGTTTAAACCCAATAAAGAAAATTAATTCTATAATTGAGTTTTAAGAAATGGTATTTGAAAATTTGTAGGTTCTCGACGTCTACGACTACAACCTGGGATTACTTAGAATCGGTCCCTTTAATTACGATCCCTTGAGAGGTGTCGACCTTTGGCTATCTCAAACCGATCAATTCATCCTTCAACATCTATCGACGTCACCGGAAGTTGAACTTCCTCATTTCGCGTCGCAGGTGATTATTTTATTTTCCTTTTTAACGAAATGAATTTTATAAATCCAAAAAATCAATCGACCAATATCTCACAATTTTTGTTATACATTTTATTTATCTCTTTTATCGATAAAACAATCTTTTAAAATACTTAATAATATACACATGTTAAAAGTACTTTTTCATAATGGTTTTTATTTATTTATTTATTTTTTTTGCATTTATATTTCAGATACGAGCAACGCTTAAATATATCCAGGACAATCAATTTCCGGCTGTTACCGTCTTCCGGGATAATAGGCCTCATTATTATCGTCGGGATGAAACAACTGGTATCTGGCAACCAATACGATACTAATTATTGCACTTATATATGAAAATATATACGTGCGCGCAAAACTTCACATTGTCTTTTCTTATAGGAGCATACAAAAATTAATTAATTGATTAATTAATGCTCGCGAATATCCATCAGTTTTTATTTTATTTCATTTTATTTTATTTCATTCGTTTTTTCAACCTCTATCATGAAGAAGAAGAAGAAGAAGGAGAAAATATTATTTTCAATGAATAATTGCGAGTCACTAAAATAACGAATATGATAACACAACAACAACGCAAAAAATAGCGAAATTAGAAAAAAGAATAATTAATAATAATAATAAACCGTTTGTCGAAAGTGCGAAAGAGAAGAGAGAGACAAGATTTTAATTAAAAATTACTTACAACTCTCTCTCTCTCTCTCTCTCTCTCTTTCTCTCTCGTTGAGTTTGTAAATCAATCAATAAATTAAAATAATATTATATAGTTACGCGCATAATACACATTACACATATACACGTGTTACTACCTTGAACTCGACAGTACATAAAATTAAAAAGTGAAAGGGGTAAGGAAAAAGGAGGAAAAAAATATTTGTGAAAGGGAAAAATTCTTTTTCTCTCCCGAGGTTGTTTTTTCTCCCCTAATAATAATAATAATAAAAAGAAAAGAACAATCGCACAACGAATATTTCAACGTGTATTTGCCATAAACAATAAAAAGGAAAGTTATAGCATTAGACGGATAGTGTTAAGAGAGTTTATATATATATAGGGAATATTAATTAATTAATAAAAAGAAAAAGAAGAATAATAAAAAAAGAATAAAAAGGGAAAGAAAACAAAAAAGATAGATACAAAAAATATGAGGAAACAAAGTAATTATACTAACTTCACGTGCGAGAATATAATGATGATGATGTGTACATAATTATCTCTTTTTAAAACAGGCATATATATATTATTACCAAGGCCGTATTAATGAGTGTGTTAACTGTGCAATGACACAGGGCCCCGCGCCGCTGAGGACCCTACTAAGCGCAAAAAATTGGAAAAAGAATGTCAATTAATTTTTATATTTTCGATTATTATATAAATTAATATTTATGTGCATAAATATCTTTCATATTTAATTGAATTAAATAATTATTTAAATATTTTTCCATTTCATGCAGGGCTCCCCGCAAAATGTAGAAACGAGCCTCATATATACACATATACGTATTGTTGACAAATTCGCGATTTTGGAAATAAATAATCCTGTTGTTTTGGTAAGGGATGACAAACAATACGCTGCCAAGCTTTTCGAAATCGCTCCTCTTTCTGTTGTGTTTCTCTATCACAATTTTTAATTATTAATATTATTATTATTATTATTATATTATTATTATTATTATTATTATTTTATCTTTTTTTTTTAATCTTCCGTTTATATGTCCCGATTTATGTCGAAGAAGAAGGGTTGGACGAAGGTTCGAAGAAAGACAAAAATAGGAAACAATTTGTTCTCGATAATAAAGTAGATCCCATCGTTACCGATCTCGTCTATATTTTATAAAACAAAAAATATTCCGATATTATATATTTACATAGATATATTCGATTTTTCTTTATCGATAAACGCCGCAAACGCTTAAAACCAGTGTCTTATTTACTTATACGAAATGTGTAAACATAAATAACACGTGCAAGGATGTATTTAAATTTTTTTTTAGTTTTTTATCCCTCATAACAAAAATTAAATAATTATCTACGATTATATATGTATATGTATATTTATATACATAAGTGTATGTATACACGCTCGAGTTACTAAGTAATCATCTATTATAACATCATTTCAGTTTTTCTCACGATTAATTATAATAATAGTAATGATTTTTTTGCGAAAAGGTGAAAGAAAAAACAGAAAAAAAGGAAGAAAGCGACTGTTTTCCTTTTGAACAAGGAATAAAGGAAGAAAAAAAGAAAAAAAAAATAACATACATACATACATACATACATATATGTGCATTTTTTACATTCTACTTACAATATTACATTAGATGTTCCGAAGTTATACGTGGTGTGTTCAAAATGGTGGCCTTAGCATTAATGCAATAATGAAAGATAAAAGAAGAAAAAAAAATATCTCATAATAAATGACTTATATGCATTTTCTATTTCCTTCAACGTAATTTCAAAGCACATAATACACTAATACGTTGACTCTCATAATATTTTCTGATATATTAATTTGTTCAATTGTTAAAAATCGCGACAATTTATTTGACAACCTAGTATATTAATTATGATTAACTACATTTATTTTCATTAGTAAAGAAATTTAATTGCGAAATAATTTATTATTTAAATATATATATATATTCTTAGTTAATATGATAAAAGATACAAATAATTTATAATAATCATATTATAATTGGTTTTTAATATTACCGCTTACTTTCAAACTGTTCAATATGTCACGTGATGTTTTTACTCAGAACGTTTCTTAAAAGATCCACGGAGTGTCGCTAGTGTAGTACGTTATGTGACCGTCACGCCAAAGCTTGGCGCCTCCGGCACTCTTACCGTCACGCCCCTAGTGGCGAAACAAAAGAACTAAAAAAACACCACGCATTTGAACAACCGCTGCTATTCGCTCTCTTCCGTTCCAACCACCGAGCTAGACACACGCGTACTCACGAGCAGTAAACAAAGACGTGAAACTAGTCACTACTTCCTCTTTACTCTTTAAGATTTTGTTAAGTTTGTTATATATTTTGTACATGACCTTTTTGATACGTTTTATAATAAAATATTTATATAATATTTTTCCCTAGTGAATTAGTGATTTCCTAATATAATTGAACACGCTACGGTTACAATACAACCTCGAGACATCTAACGCATGCGCAGTACTCGGATAGTTATGCAGGTTGCAATGCGATTGCAACCACGAGGCATTTTAAACAAGTTTATGGTGCCTTCAATGCAACTACAACCATGAGGTACCACTGCAAATGTACATTTGTATTTTAAAGTGCAACAACAAGTGTAAATATAAAGATTAACAAAATGATTCATAGTAAAATATTTGCACGAAATCGTGCGCTCGGTTACGTTAGTAATCATATACCCGTAGTAACGAGATATATTCAAAGAAGGAAAGAAAATCTTTTGGTAACCTGCGTTGGTAAAGAATTTCATACTTATGGCTGTGCACATTTTACTCTATTGAGTGTCTCTGGAACACATCCTGAAAATATAACTTGTTTATCTGCGGATTCTTATCACATTTATACAGCTGCTGATAATATCGTTTATGCATGGAGAAGAGGTACAGAATTAAAGCATACTTACAAAGGCCATGAAAGTACTGTATACAATATATTACCCTTTGGTCCAAATTTAATCACCATCGATGAGAATAGTACAGTCATCATTTGGGATATTAAAACTGAAGAATTAATCTTAGAATTGAAATTTTCTAATATGCAATTTCAAATAACTACCATAATACATCCTATTACTTATATGAACAAAGTTTTGTTCGGTAGCCAACAAGGTAGCTTACAATTATGGAATATAAAGACTTCTAGGATAATTCATAATTTCAAAGGATGGAATATGGCTGTCACCGCTTTAGAACAGGCACCAGCTATAGATGTTGTTGCGATTGGTTTGAGCGATGGAAAAATTTTATTACACAATCTTAAATTCGATGAGACGATCTTTGAACTGATACAAGACACCGGTAGTGTTATTTCAATCACATTTCGTAACGACGGCATTCCCATGATGGCTACTGGAAGTTTAAACGGACAAATCATATTTTGGAATATTGAACAAAGAAAAGTTGAAACCCAATTAAACAAAGCTCACTTTGATGCTGTAACTGGTTTAAAATATCTACCAAATGAACCGTTATTGGTTTCTTCTTCGCCTGATAATTCTTTAAAATTATGGATTTTTGACTTTAACGATGGAGGTCCAAGATTATTGAAAGTAAGAGAGGGTCATTCCAAACCGCCAACAACTGTTCGCTTTTATGGCAACAATAGTGATAATATACTAACTGCGGGAGGTGATTCCTCTCTTAGAATATTTTCTACGATTACGGAAACATTTAATAAGAGTTTAGGCAGAGCTTCATTTAATAGAAAATCATCTAAGAAAAAAAGTAAAGCTGTGGAAGATCCAATGATAATGCCTCCTATTGTACACTTCGCTACGGAAACAACTCGAGAAAAAGAATGGTGTAATATAGCAGCTACTCATTCTGGTTTAGGTATGGTTACTACCTGGTCTTATAATCTGTTAAAAATGGGTGAACACAAGTTATTACCAAAGAGATTGAAAATTGATCATAATGCTACAGCAACTTGCTTGTGCATTACCAAATGTGGAAATTTCGTTATTATTGGATATAGTACTGGTCATGTAGATCGATTTAATATACAATCAGGTACTCATAAAACTAGTTATGGCAATAAAAATAAGCATACAGGTCCAGTAAGAGGGGTAGCAGTTGATGATTTAAATCAAGTCGTTATCACTGCTGGAAAGGATGGTTACATTAAATTTTGGGATTTTAATTCTAGTCGTGGTAAGTTTATTTGAATAAAAATATTTTGTTTTTTCTTTTTTGTGGTATTACTTTTTTAATTTAATATTATATTTTTCAAATGAAGATATAGGACTAAAGTCTTTCATAAAGCTATCTGAGTCGATTGAATGGTTACGTTACCACAATGAATGTACTTTCATAGCTGCTGCATTGGAAAGTTTTGTAGTAATTATAATTGACTTAGATACTAAAAAGGTAATACGACATTTTCGTGGACATAGAGGATATTTAACAGATGGAACATTTAGTCCTGATGCAAAATGGTTGATCACATCTTCTATGGATTGTACAATAAGAACTTGGGATATTTTATCGTCTAATTTAATAGACATTTTTTCTGTAAGTTTTTATAATCTCTTCATATATGAATCTATTTTTAAAATATATAATGTATATAATACAATTTAGGTACCAAATGCGTGTATATCCCTAAATTTTTCTCCAACCGGAGAATTTCTTGCAACGGCACATACAGGCAATGAGGGAATATACTTGTGGTCGAATCGTACAATTTATTCTCATGTATCTTTGAAAGCTATAAAAGAGGAAGATGTAATACCAATGATTAATCTTCCTAGTTCTATAGTAAAAGATAATCAAGAAAACAATGAAGATCTTAGTGAAGAAGAACTGCAATATGTTTCTCCTGAACAACTTAATGAAAATTTAATTACAATATCGTCATTAGCGCAATCTAGATGGAAAAACTTGCTCAACATTGACATCGTTAAAAAAAGGAACAAACCTAAGAAGCCTCTTCAAGCTTCAGAAAAGGCACCATTCTTTTTACCGACTATTCTCTCATCGGATATAAAATTTGATTTGTCAGATGTTCAAAATTCTACCAATGTTCCAAGATTACGAAATAGCAAAGATTTTCAAATTTTAACGATATTTGGAAAAATGTTATGTTCCACCTTGGCATCGGATGAAAATTTCATAGATGTTATTAATAAATTAAAATCTATGAATCCGAGTTCCATCGACTTTGAAATTCAATCTCTTTCGGCGGAAGAAGACAATACTATATTAATGTTATTACAATTTATGAAAGTCTTATGTTTTATGATGGAGCATAAAATTGACTTTGAATTAGCGCAAACTTATTTAGGAGTATTTTTAAAATGGCATGGTGAGACAATATCTGAAACTCCAAAATTAAGAGATACTTTAAAATATTTACAAGATCTGCAATTGAAAAATTGGCATATACTTAGAGAAAAATTATTTTATAATCTTAGTATCGTAAAGTCTCTTAAGAAAATGTAACATGAATAAAATATAAAATTTTTTATACTTTTTTTTTTTTTTTTAAGAATTTAATTATAGTAAATGTAAAAATAAATCAAAAAAGGAAAGAAAAGTATTTTATATTACATATATTCATAACCATGAGTAAAATCATAATATATGTAATACAGTATAAATACAAATATATATCATCACGATGTTAACTATTTTGATTACAAATTTATAAGGCAGTAAAATCACAGATTATTATTTAATCATAGTTTATTCCTTGTAATTAAGAAAAGACTGTAATTGTTCTACGATCATAGGATCAAGAGACAAATCGTTGATGTAACTTTGAAATCCTATAGTTATTCTGTACAAACTTCTTTTACTCTCACTTCTCAGAGAATTAAATATCAGTTTGGCGCTCGATTTATCGCTATTGTGAGGTTTCTTATTTAACACATTAGATTTATGTAACCTATCTACACTAACCTTTAATGCTAACAGCGTATTAAATATAGTTGGAAGATCTTTTTGTACAATACCATATGAATCTTCTTTCAAAGATATAATTGCCAAAGAAGAAACAGCTTCGATCGCCCATATTACAGATTGTGCGTTAAGTAAGGCATATTCAACCTTGAAATCTTCTTGTTCACCGAAGATGTAATAAATAAGTGGTTTAGAAAGTAAATACGATATCATTGTATCCTTTTTGTGTAGGAAATATTTGTACGTCAACCATTTAACTTCTGGCGGTTTGGAGTCATCACTATTGTTTATAGATGGTACTGTCTCTGCTGCCAATTTACGCATATTATAAGTGTAATCACTTTTAAAAGCAGACAAATTAGATGCATTTAATGAAGTAAGCATCGAATTAGAAGATAAGAAATGTTCCTTGTGTTTATTGGTAATTGCATTGAGCTTATTAGTAAATCCATTGATGAAGTTCAATACTTTTTCGATAACGCAATTCCAATTATAAGGATGACCGCCAGGTTGACTTAAAGTAAATAATATTTTTCTTCTTGTCTTCTGTTTAACAGCCAAAGTAACAAGATCCAAATATGCTAAATGCTGTACCATTGGTATATCATCAGAGGATAAAACGTCAGCCAATGTTATCATAGAGACATTATTATTAAAGACATTAGCTTGTTGAATTTCTAAGGGTATCCATTCGGTTAGAAATATTTCCAATAACAATGTTGTCGTCTTACTAACAAATATCAAAACCGATTGATATGCCAACAAATAGAATATTAGAGATATACTTAACAATCTTGATAAGCTATCCAATGGCTTTACTTCTATTTGTGCAGATGTGATGGATAGTATAAATTCACGCATATAGGATCCCATTAGATAATATCCAATCATGAAATAAATAACAGGCCAGAACGAGATGTATGTTAATGTTGATAATATTGTACAAATACCTGTTTTAAATTTCGAGAATTTAGTCAATGGTATTATATTAAAATGAAAATATCGTTGATTAGACCAAGCTGTAGTCAGGAAGACATAAAATCCAGTCCATAATCCTCCAATGATTAGAAAATAATGTTCTTCTATCAGGCATGATCCATAGAGTATATTACAATTGTCGATCAATAAATTATGATTACCTTTCTTCAACGACAAGTGTAACCATACAACATTACAACCCATTAGAACGCTAAGTATACCTCTTAATAAATATTGGCTGGTAAAGATATGTTGAAGTTTCTCAAATCTATTCTTTATGTAAGGCTGACGATGTAAATAATAATTGCAATATATAATCCCTTGTAGAAGTCCAACGAATATTAAAAAATATATTCGCAATTTTAAGGATAATATAGAATCCCATGTATTCTGCATCCATAACGTAATATTTAAATTTAAATTTATAATAAAAATCAAACTGCACAGGAGAATGAATTGTAATGCGATGTTGCATATTAGAGCTACGAGCATTCGTTTTTTCAATAATCCTGAATAATCCTTTCTATTAATTTCGAACATTTTAGAGGATTTTTAATTTAACTTCTATTTAATAAACACTTATACTTTTATCTAATAAACGTTATTTAAAATCTTACAATATCAAGTTCTTAAATACCGGTTTTATACACATGTATATAAATATATATATATGATATGATCAACCAATGATCGTGTAGATATAAGAATGACGCGGGAAATCTGGCACCGTATAGTTAGTTTCTTAGTTATTGGAAATTTTCGACAAAAATAACTTTATCATGACATGTTTCTACTTGTTATTTTATCTTTAAAGTTGGCATCCCTTAAATTTCTATAATTTCAAACTCTTTCAATTCTACAGCGTACATAAGGGACTTCTTCAAATTTATACCAAAAAAATAAAGGATATTTTAAAGGATAATTATTAAATTGAAATATATTATTTAAAATATGGTTCGTACCAAAGCAGATCGTTTACCTGCAAAAGGTAAATAAAATTATTTTCCATAATATATAATTACTAACAATATTCAATTTTTTTCTGGCTTTTTTTTGTTTGTCTTATTAATAATTTTGACTTTGTAATTAGTATATTGTAAAATATTTAACATTTTAGAGTATATAGTAATTCATAAATAATTAATATTGTTATATTATTTATTTAATTTATATGTAGCTGTTGGTGCTAAGGCACCGCACAAACTTTCAAGTACAACAGATGGAGTGAAGAAAACAGGAAACAATAAAGGTGAATAAAAATTGTTAAGTATCCTTCTACTATTATTATAATATTATTTTTATATATATTTTTAGTAAGGGGTTACACTGGTGGAAATCCATATCATCCAAGACAAACTCCAAATTGGCAAAAACCAATAACAAATTTTATGAATCAAAGCATTACCAATACCGATAATGTTGCATCCTCATCAAATGTAAATATAAAATAAATAATTTCATATATACACGTGAATATCTTTAATATAAATAATAATTGTTTTTACAGGATAATGAAAACGAGGAAAATCAAAGTGATACTTCCATTGTTGAAAATGATTAAAAGGAAGGAATCAATATTTTATTATTTGGACGATATAGAAAGAACTTTGTTATATTTTATTCATCAAAGATATTTATTATTTAATTAAAATATACAAATAGTTTCAATTTTTGACAAAAAATGAAAAAACGATCAAAAGCAATTACTTTATTATAACTGTGATTATAAAAAAAAGATTATAAGTGATAAATAATTTAGTTTTATATATATATAAGTATATTTTAATTTAGCCGTTTAAATATTACCCATCGACATAGTTTTGAAAACCTTGCATTGATGAAATATATTTAAATGTATTGGAATTACTTCAGGAACTTGAAACATCTTAAGTGCTTTTGTTACAATGTAAAAAAATGGAGGATCATCAATCAAGGTCTTATTCCTATTTATCTTGAACATATCTTTTTTGCTAATTGTAAGAAAAAAAGACCAAAATAAATTGGACCAAGCAAGGCCTCAGTGTAGGAGGTAACTTCCCCCTCATTTGACTTAAGTGGAAATCCTTTAGAATGGCTATTAAATCACATTGTGGAGTTAGTACCACTGATACTATTTCCCTAGCCAATTGAATATATGTTATAAATGTCAATTTATATATATTTGATTCATTATTAATATTTATAGATTTATAAACACTTTAAAAATACTCACTTGTTAACATTTCATTTATTATTTACATTTTTATTTTAATAATAATAATATATCTAAATAATTATTGTTTTAATGAAGATGAAAATAAAGAATACTTTTATTAAAAATTATATTATATGGTATATATATATTCTTTCTTACAATTAGTACTAAATTATATTTATAAATGTACAATATAAAAAGAAGAATATATGCATTTTCCCCAGTAGTTAACCAATAATAATTCTTGTAATCTGGGGAAAAATAATGTTCTCGTATATAGAGAAATATATTCGTATAAACTTTGGGGCAATGTATAGAAGCGAGAACAAATTAAAACCCGCATAGTTCTATCCATTTTTAATATTAATAACATTTTAAGTACTCATATATCTAAATATTGTCAATACATTTGGAAATCACATTTAGGAACGCGAAAATAAATATATATCCATAGAAGAGACATTTTATTACCACATTCACAAAGTTAATTCGTAGTACTTGAGATGATGGTGCTGTTCCTGTAGTTTCACGCAAAATAAATCTATACAATAGTGGATGTTAATATCTCTTGGATTTTAAACAAAGAAAAGAGAAGAAGTAAAGTAAAAAAATAAGATATATACATATATATGTATACATATATATATATCTATATATACACATACATTATTTATTTTAACACAATATATTTATATATACA